AAAATCATTAATAGGCAATCGTTCGATGGGCTGAATTGCACAAAACGCATGATCGCACCGGCTATCTGGTACGCGTTGCTATTTATTTCACGTCTTTTCCAGGTGCTCGTTGCGAGTTCTCGATTCGTTTGGCACGCATGCAGAATTCAACTCGCAGAATTATTTTGCCACTCACAAAGATGTTTTGGGAGGTGCGTCAAAAAATTCATGGGGTGGACATCGGTTAAACCTGCAGCAGTTCATGACAATGTTCCCGCATACCGACGATAATACATTTCTCGGTTTCGTTGTTGAAATGCATCCAGTGAACGAGAATGTCAGCCGACGTAATGCTACACTGGTAAGTATTTTTATGCCACCCCTGATGAAACAGACGAATGCTATCGGCACACACACACACACGCGCGCGCACAGACACAAACACACACACACATACAAATGTGACCCTAGTGCACTAGTACTGCCGGCTTTTTTAAATCGTTGGTTCCGATAATTTTTGCAGATTCATATCGATGCGAATGCGCATCTGCGTATCAGCTATGTCGACTTTTTCACTTTTATTAGTTCGAATGCTTCTTCATCCCCTCTCATTTTCCCATCGTTTTTTCTGCCCCAACCACATTTACCATCATATCTTCAGTGCCTGATGATCTCAAGCATTCTACAGCTACTGAAATTCGTTCCATGATCCTTGTTCCTGCCTTTTAAACAAATGAGGGAGAGGGCGCATCGTCAGCAACCTCATTTTTTAGATAATTGCTGGCAGTAGAAGTAGTACCAACATGTTGTCTTTTTCCATCATAGAAGCCGAAAGTTGCGCCAAATCGCCGCCCTTTGCTGGAACCGGTACCTCTCTCCCTTCCCTTCTCTTCTCCCCGATTTTTTCTTGTTATTTTCGCGCTTTTTTATAAACAAAAATTACCTCGATTGAGAAACACTGGTAATATTCGAAACAGAGTTGAAAATTTACAGGTTTATGGCAAGGCCGCGTACATGTGGAACGGTTCGAGGCCTCTAATTGAAACAGTTCAAAAATTCACAGAAATACATGCGACAGTTGGGGATACATGCAAAAACTGTTATCTTTCCGATTTTGATAAACTTCTCATAAAAAATCATGGGATTTTACCAACCGCACGGCTTCATTCATTGATGAGAAGAGTAAAAATTTTCTTGGGACTCGGCTTTCCGCTGGAGGGCCCGGCACCACTGGAAGCGATCGCAAGCGGTGCTGTTTTCATCAATCCATCGTTCCGTCCAGCAAAATCACGCAAAACATACGATTTTTTTCGAGAAAAACCAACTTTACGCGAGGTAATACATTAATTTTTCTCAGCCTTTTCTACATTTCCCTTTTGATTTTTTTATAACCATACTTTATATTTAGAAATGATAAGTAACGACCATTAGGCCTGTGAATCATTGGAACGTAGTGCTGTACTACATGCTTTATATTATTGTAAGCAAAGTCTCTCCAGGTCATACATTAAATAAAAAAGTCACTTTTTTTGACTATCCCATAAAAGTTAAATTTGGCAGAAGCTTAAAAAAGGGCTTTGTTGCTCGAAAACCATTATGGTGTGTCATTTGAAAATGTTCTACGGAAATTTGTACAAGCGGAGGGTTTTGCACTAGTGGCGGGGGCTTTAAAAATTTACATTTGCAATTAATTTCCCCACAAAAGACGCAGTGACGTTGCGAAAACTGTTAAAGGAGTTTATGACTAAGGTAACAAGGCTTCAAATCCAGGTAGGGGGGATCATGTGGATAAAGAACACGTTTGATCCCCGTTTAGCTAAAGCATCGAAAGACCTGGCAAAACTTCATCCGGCTTGTGGTAGATTGTCGGTAGTGCCACTTTTAGGGACACGACTGCCGGCCGGACATTTTTGGTATCTCGATTTTGATCATTCGAATATCAGCTTTTGGTACTTTTAATAAAATAAACGTTTTGGTGGAATTAAATCGCAGCGAGCGAAATGTTTTTGACGTGTTCGTATTTTTAGTAGTGCGATTTGCAGTTGACAAGCCAGAATCCATACGCGGAAACTTTCATTGGCAGGCCACATGTGATAACCGTTGATATTGCAAACTTGTCGCTTGTCGAGGAAGCTGTTCAGGAGGCTCTTCACTCCAAAGTATTTCTTTGGCATTTGTTTCAACTCTCTCAGATTACTTCCTCCTCCACCTCCCCTCCCCACCCCGCCTTTCCTCCCTTCGCCCTTCCCCCAGTCAGGACATGGATACTTTTTTCCCAGAAGTTTGCTTTTGCTGACAAGAATTTTGGGGAAACAAGTTGAGAGCAATTTAGCACCTTTTAGTTTATCCATTGAACTATCAGTACTTTGACATAGAAATCGAGTCAGGGGTGTATAGGTGATTTGTTCCTTTTCTTTCATGCAGCAGTTCGTAAGAACGATAACAGTTGCACAGAGGTTACAGAAATAGGAGAGGATTTTGGTTCGTGAACTTTTGATTTCTGCAGCGGTGTTGAATTGAGACGTATATGACTTAATGGACCGAAACGTCTTATCTCACTCTTGCCCCCTTTTCCCTCATACTGTTCTTTCTTTCTGTGGAAACGGGTTTTTCTTCCATGAAGAGTGCATTTTAGCGGCACCACCACTGCAACCCACTTTCGCTTTTAAACAAACTGTCGGGCCAATGATGCTGCATGCGTTAGTAGATTTTTTTTGAAAAACAACTTATGGAATGCCTCATCTGTTTAGCCGTATATCAATTTCCAAGGCTTTTTTTTTATTCAAATTTTGATATTTTGAATACTTTTCTCGCCCACTCTTTCCTCGCCATCGGCACAGCTGCATTGTTTCTGCGCAGCTCTGCTCTTTTTTATCCACCGAGCTCCGTAGAGTCGTTCAAATGGATTCTTCCATATCTCACTGACGATTTACCGCACTTCAGGACGAGATGTTTTTTTGAATTCATAATGTGTGGTGTGAAAATTTGCTGAAAACTTTTTCAGCCTGCCCCGTTTCTTCCATTCGAATTCACGGTGTTGGGAATGTTGCAACGAGTGAATACGCTCATATCTAAG